ATTCGGTTAAAGTCGGCTCAAGTCGACAATTTTTTTTTTTTTTTTTCTTGAAGTTTCTTGATCCTATATATTATTTCTAAAAGGTGTTTTTTTTTTTTTTTTTTTTTTGTCGATACGCCAGAACTTCGTCAATTCTTCATCAAATCCTATGATTGACCACTCATTTTGAAGATATTCTGCTCCTTCATATGCGAAAAATAGTCATATCCCGCCGAAATTCTAGAAAAAAAGTTATGGAAAAAATAAACTTTATTTGCGAATAATTCAAAAAGTATGCATTTTTTTCTTGATTGTACCAATATTACTAAATTACTTACAAAACAAAACAAAAATCGTAAAATTGAGGTAATTATTTACAAAGATACAGTCCATTAGTTTGGGTATACTTAATAATGTCTTCAGATTTACAGATATTGCATTTAGGAATAGAATAGTCTAATAATTTTTTTTTCCTGGCTCATATATTAACTTCACTATTTCTTAAAGACATTTGGTTGTTCTTACATTTTATTCATTTTTAATAATTTAGAATATTCCATGATCGGGGTATTATTTTGTCTATATTACAATCAGCGTTTAAAAATATCTCCTATTATTTCTATTATGTTTAATGGAATGTTGTAATCGATCAAGAAAAAAATATCAATTCCTTCCTTACATATTACATAGGAACTACTTATTTCTGTAATGTTTTGCTATTTATACACTAAAAAAAATATTCTGCTAATTTTTCGCAGGGGCCAACTAGTGATATTTACAACTGGATTAAAGAAATACATTTAGTAAATTTGAACATATGGATATAATGACGTGAAATCACTTGCCGAGTAACTACCCAATGGTAGCACTCTAATGATATGACTACATTAGGAGATCACGGGGCCATCTTATTTTCAGACTCCTCGGAGGGTTGACCGGAAATGAAAAAGAAGCAAGGTTAGAAACGAGAGGGTTCTGAAATTTACTATGGAAAGATATATTTCTGGATTGGGCCAGATTTGAAACATTAAGGTCATTATGGATGGTTTTATTTGTAACAAAGTAGGGACCATTGGGAAATTTACGAAGGATTGTAAGGATTGGATACGAGAGGAATTCGATTGTTTAGTAAAGCCCTATAGCTCAACTCCGTAAGTCCAAATAGGCAGTATTTACGAGTTTTTAATACCTAATTAAATAGACATATGTTTTCCTCCCTCAAGATTGAAAACGCCCCAATTCCAATAGTTTTTGTAAATAAAATAGTTGTAGCTTAGGATGAGATAAAACTATTTACGAAGTTTCAGGCGGATGTTAATAATTCGATAAAAAGGAATCTGTACCATGGACTAATATTTTAGCTTATTGGGGGAAAGTCGACTCTATAGTTAATATAATTTTTATATTTTGGAAAAAATATTTCAGGAAATAAAAATCGGGTCTCCATACCGTAAGCAAGGGAAATGATCATCAGCATTTGTACTCTCTTTGTGACATCATCTTAAAGAGACAAAAAGGAGAACATGTAGTCACAAAAGCCAAATGATAAAGAGTTGTTTTTTAAAATTGGGTTAAAATGTCTCAAAAACTAAAATTTGGACTTGCATATACAGTAATCTCGGGAGATTTTCAGCATTTTATGTTGTTTGTAATAAGCTATAATTCAAAATCGTATTTTGACGTGACGTCGAGTTAGATAGTCGGATAGGGACAAAGATAACTCCAAAAAACAAATAATGACTGTTTTAATATTTGGATTAAAATATTTCCATTCCAAACCTAATCTCCTTGAGTTAATCCCTGAACAAAGATAATAATGGGCCCAATTACGAATTTCGGCACATGTACTTTGTACTTACATAACTGAAGAAATCGCATTGTGAATTAATTGTGAGAATTATATTGAGGCTTGCTCAAAAACAAATGAATTCCAAAAAAAGTTAATTTTCAATCAATCCCAAGGTGTAGGTGGGAGGATCATTCAGTATATTCTTTTAATTATAGCTTAGGCAGACAGGTTATCGGTATTTTTTTTAATATCACGTACGAGGAAGAAATTAACGATGCTTGCCCAATGTTAATAATTACGTTTCAAGGGAATAAGAGAAGTTAAGAGTGAATTTCATGATTTTTTAAAATGTTTGATTATTCGGTAGCTTGGAAATGTCCCTTGGCAAGTCCTTAAATATGATTAAGTAATTTGCCATTGAAACAAGATTTGCATTACAAGTTATAAGGATTCTAAGTACCGAGAGCTTTGCATTATGGGGTTAAAAGTTGGACCAGTGATCATATGCTATTTAAACATTTCTTTGTTCTTATCTATTTAATATAATACATCTTTCCCCACATAGTTCTGAAATTCCTGATCAGGAAATAAAAAATAAAAAAAGAGAATGTAAAATAACTTTGAACAGCGTTAGTCGAGTTACTTTACTATACGTGATATATCCCTTTTTATTAAATTATTAACATCCGCCTCAAACTTCATAAATAGTTTCATCTCATCGTAATCTACAACTATTTTATTTACGAAAACTGTTGAAAATGGGATGTTTTCAATCTGGAGGGGGGCAAACTTTGTATATTTAATTAGGTACTAAAAACTCGTAAATACTCATTTGCTTTCTACTTGGATCGTAAGATAATTTGATCACAAAGTACAGAAAAAAAGTGCCCTTCAAAAACATTGAGCCGTTTGGCATGACATACACTCCCAATTTTTCAAAATAACGAGGTTATATAGGACAAGCGGCCCAATATTTTTGTAGGCCACTTGTTTTCTCGATTTTGTGATCGATCTATCTTACGATACAAGTAAAAATCAAATGAGTATTTACGAGTACGAGAGTTTTTTAGTACCTAATTAAGTAGACAAAGTTTGCCCCCCTCCAGATTTAAAAACGCCCCAATTCCAAGTTTTCGTAAATAAAATAGTTGTAGGTTACGATGTGATGAAATTTATGAAGTTTTAAGCGGATGTTAATAATTCGATAAAAAAACTGCAACAGATTTGTCAAATAAACATGATTTAATAAATTATTGCGATTGTATCAATGAGGTTATAACCTGAATCTTAAAGGTATTGTTTTGTTTAGTGTGAAATTGAAAAAAAAAATTAAAATGACTCACATATTTGTGAGTTTGTATAAAAAAAATTGAAGGTTTAGTTTTATTTGATAAAATATTACAGGCAATGAGAAACTTTTAGCCTCCTGAAAATTAATATTGTTAAATATTATGAATATTTGTTATTCTCAAAGTTAAACTATCTTGTGTTTATCTATTGTTTAATATTAATTTTTAATATAACATTTATTCCTTTATAACTTCTGATTTCTAAATAATACCTGTTATTTTAATAAAAGTAACTGTTACTAAAAGTGACAGGCGATACTTCAGTAATGAAGACCCTAATACTTGTTTTGTTTTTATTAACAGAACTAGGAATTTCATTTTTTTTGTCCAGTTTTCTGTTAAATATTTGTATGCCAAATAAGAGTGTTTTAGCTCTGTTAAATAAGTTTATAAGTGAGTATTATAGATGTTCCTATTGAGCTGTTATAACTAGTTCTCTGACCTGAATACCTGGAAAAGTCAGGGAATCCCGTGCAAAGGTTTCTGTAGACGTCTTGTCTCCATTCCTGTTTTTCAGATGATTATTTTATTTATATTATATATTCCTTCCTCAATACCGAAGGTAGGAAAACTTCGTATTCCTGCTGGATGTCAAGGATTTTTTTTTTTTATGTTTAGTCGAAAATCTCCATTCGCTTTTACCTTTCCACACAAATCATCAAGGGACGAATTCGGTGTCATTTAAAACAAAACAAAACAAAAAAAAAAAAAAAAATAGGAAAAGACAATGTTTGTAACATCAACTTCAATTTAAACTTTTTTTTTCATCAGAAACAGTTCGAATTGAACCTATAAAACAGAAACTACTCAAATATCTTCATTGCCCCAAGGACAATTAATGTAAAACAATTAAAAAGTAATAAAATGTCTTTTATTAATTTATTATAATCTATCTAACTATGTATGCTTGGTATATGTTTAACATACGTTGGGCCATCAATGAGTAATAAATTTTATCTTACATGATTTGGTATATTGCAGATCAAAATGTTTTTTTTTTCCAAATTTGAAATTTAATTGCTACAATTATAATTAATTAATTAATTTATAAGAGAAAAATAAAGGAAATCGTTAAGAATTTGCGATAATGTTCTTTCACGACCTTGTACACTTTATAGGTCAAGGCAACAATAATGTCTGCGTGATTTGACAAGGAAAACTTCCTAAGCTCTCTCAGACACTCTTATGTAGTTTTAGAATGGCTCTTAGTTTTTTTTTGGGGGGGGGGGGGGAGAGAGCAGGAGGATTCAGAAAATGAAGAAAGATAAAGAGGTCAAAATAAGTATGTAATTGATAAATAAGTAATTGTAAATTACATAATGATGAATAAATAATATTTTCACTAAATTATGATAAACACAGTATAACAGTAGGTAGGAAAGTATTATTATTAATAAGTGCTGATTCATTAGTAAAATTATTATGCTAATTCATTTATTATATAAGTTATTAAAATTATTATAGATATAAATATAAAAAAAATAAAACTTAAAAATAAACATCTGAATTGTTTTCGCGTTTGCAATCGGTTTTAGGAATTTTGTAGCTTGTTACAACTTGACATAGTAAAAAAATAAAATATAATTTTTGGAACATAAAAAGTGTCCTGTCCTGAGGAAATTAAATTGGTCTTATATCTCAGTTACATAATGCAAAAAAGGATTGTTTAGAAATTTGAATTAATTTTAAACAATTTTTATATATTTTTTTTCTTTGCTCTGCTGTATTTTCTATTCGTTTTTAAATCTTAACATCCTTTCATTGAAAATTAATCGCATATGAATTTTAATATTTCTAAATGATTTAACTTATATTATTATTAATTAATATATTTTTATTTTATGTTATTATCTTTATTTTAATTTTTAATTTTATCTTTTCAGAATAAGTGCGTTCAGACTCCTACCATACAATTTCTCGGAAATGAAGGGGTAAGTACCTTTTTTATAATCGTAGTTCCTCTCATATGTTAGTTTCAGTAAGTTCCTCCTAAATTCAGCGCTAAGATCATCGATGGAATCGTATCTAAACTGAACAAAACGATGCCATTGAAGCCCTAAGCGCTTTATTTAGCAATTCCTTTTATCATTGTCTAAACAATACTCCAATCAATGAAGAATTCAATTTTTTTAAAGTTAATTTAAAGAAATATATTTTTTAATTTATTTGATCGAGTATATATCATAATATATCGGTGTTAGATTTTAATCGATTATTTTTAAATATATTCTTTCTTCTCATATAACTCATATGAATGATTAATGTGTTATGGTGCTAAACAGTTAGCATAAATCATACACCTGTATAAGTCCACGCTCAAGAAACTCCAGAGTTTCTCCATCCTTCGGCGAATATTCAGAGGTACCATCCTGCAAAGGGCAAAGAATGTAAAGATCCGAGAGGGGCTTCAGCTCCCATCGGTGCCTGAGTTCTTAGGCCGAAGGCACGTCAAATTTTTCGATGGGCTGAAGGTCTGTGCTAACCCGCTTTTCCAGGAAATAGTACCGCCGCCCAGGCCTGGGTACTGGTGCAAGGTAAAGTCCCCTTGGTTGATGTTCTCGCCGAGGGAAGGGGTTCGGAAGGGACTCTGTAGTTCACACTCACTAACTATAATATAAATAATAAATTAATGCAGTGCGGTCCCTTCACGCCCAGTGGTATAATAAAAGGCCTCTGGCCACAGATGCAAAGAACGCATACAGCGTGCATAGCTCTCTTACCTTAAAATGCCCTTGGGCAATAAAAGGAAATTGAAAAATTTATGTATATATACCATTTATATATATAGTATCTGTAATCAAGAAATTCCTGGGGGGTAGGAAAAAAAAAAAAAATTGAACAGTATTTAATACATGACGTGCGATCACAATAAATTTTATTAGGAGTTTTGAAAAAATAAAAAGAAGAAAAGTTTATTCACTTCGGATTTTATCTAGTTTTCCGTAACCATGATAAACGTATTATACTCTGTATTACGCTGTGCTGACCCCTTTACCATCTTTTATCTACATTCCTAACCATTTTAAAATTAAAGTAGTAAACAGATAATGAACACCTTATAATAACGTTCCTCGTACGTTTACGAAATTAATAGCAACTTCAACAGACACTACTAGGCCGTGTTAAAATCGAGTGTGCTAGCTACCATATTTAACAAGTTTAAGTTTTCGATACTTTGCGCTGGTTTCATGAATATTGGCTCTCTTTAATACACAAATTATTAATAATTGATGTACACTTCCTTATATCTCGAAACATATCACTGATGATATGAATCTAAGAGCATTGTACACATTGAAGAACCTTGTTCGATAATATCAATATAACCCTATCAAAATAATTTTACTCTTGGTTGAAATAAATACCCTTAAACCTCTATTGAGGTACCTAGGTTTTCGTTAGTGTACCCCTTAACGACTATACAAAGGGTCTCTGAAACATGTCAAGGGGAGAGGATTTAAGGCTGCAAGGGTGAGCGAAGGGGTCGGAAAAACAAAACGATAAAACGAATATTACAGTTAAAACTTAATCATTTCATTAAAAAAATTATATTCAGTGTAAAGCCCTCCCCCCTTCCCTATAAAGGATATAATTAATTGATGAGTTATTGCCTGTTTTTTTTTTTATCTCGTCTGTTCATTCGACTATAAGATTAATATCTCATTAAGTGTTTTATTCTGTATTAGTGAATATTATAATATGCAAAAGGAATAGTAAATTTAATATCGGAACCTTAGGATAAATTTATCTTATAACTATGTGTGCCAGAATTCTTGTATTTGATAATTAAAATTTTTCCTCTAATGCATTGAAGTATAAACGATATTGGTTATACATTTTTATTCCAATTAAAGAAGTGTATTCTATGTTAAAGTAACAGTTCACTTAATAAATAATCAGTTTTCTCTGATAGAAAATGTCTATTCAGTGAGGATACAAACCAATATCGATCCGGTATTGTACCGGTTGAAACCTGTTGAGTTGGTTCAACACAGCAGGATTCTTGGTTTATGGTTCTTTGGTTTATTAATAATGGGATACAGAGCCTAGGCATGAGTAACAATATCATCAACGCCATTTGTTGATTTGTTGTAAAATACAAAAAAAAAAAAAACAATTAAAATTTCTCCACAAAACATTATTGAAAATGTCCTTTCTATGGTATTCGAGGAGATAATGGTTATTTATCGTTTACCTTTCCGATAGACTTCTAGTATGTATAGACTTTTTTTTCAATATTTAGGTACGTTTAAAAAAAAAAATAATAATTGCTCCTTCAGACTCATTGAGTGTTTTTACCTGGGAATCGATACTTTCTTAATTTCCTTAAAAATCGTTTAGGATTAACTTAGGCAATACGCCATTCAATTATTAATGACGTTTTGATTTTTAAAACCTAAACGACATGCGATAAGAATGCCATGGCAACCGTCGCGGCTAAGATACTTAGGACAAGAATTATAGCTGATCTAGAGTCATTAAGGTGCATTTGGACATTCCAATTATCTATTTTAACTAACAGCGACATTATCGCTTAACCAAACTTTATTTTATTTCTCTTCATGGCGACAGCAGATGGAAAATATCTAAAACAAGAAACAGAAATACTAGTATGGTGAAATAACCATTTATATATTTCTTTGTTCCATAGTTTGTGTAATGTCTAAACGTAGGGCCTGAGGGTCTTTACCTGGTCTTCGATGTTCCCTTCAAAACTTTTAAAACAATATTTGTCCGTTATGGATCCGCTCATTTACTAACGACGGAGTTTTAAAACTTTTTACTTTTTCAGTGTTATTTATTAAAGCTGTAGTACGAATTTTAAATACGAAATCGGAATACTTCATTTCTTTTTACTCCTCTTTCGTCAAAATATTTCGCTGCTTGCGGTTAAAAAAGGGATCTTTACTATCTTCACAGAACTAGGATCTAGGGGGGTGGGGAGGGGGTTGAGGGGTTCTTTCTTTCTTTTTTAAAAATTAATTACCGTTATATATTTGAAAAAAAAAATCTTTCAAGTTGAAGCCTCCCCCACCAAAAAAAAAAAAATTAAATTCTGGATCCGCTAGTGACTATTTTATTATATAATTAGTAGAGGGATAATAAAGCTTGGCTGATCAAGGCTTTCAAAGATACCTAAAAGTAGCTGTAAACACCATATTTTACAAAATTATCTAGTTGATATTATCCTCCCTTTTACACTTCGGTCTGTTCTTCCTGTTTCTTGTTCTGTCAAACATTACCTTTTTAGTTTCCCTACCGTTATCCAATGCACTTAGCAAGGAGGCAATTCCAATCTCCGAGAAGTTATTACATTAATTGACTCAACCTTCTGTTGTATCGGCGTTGAATATCCACAGTCCATCTATCTTTCTTGAGACCTAATATTTTACGTAACTCCGTAGTATCCTAGACTACCTTTAGACGTTGTTCTTTCCCTTGCGTAAGAGGCCACGTTTCACATCCGTAATGAGCTCCAGGCGGTGTAATAGCCTGCTCTTGGAGTTCCCAAACTTTTACGAGTTGTGACCCAATATAGAAACCACCTTGAGGTATTAAATGGCTTAAGGAAAAAAAAAAAAGTACGGAGTAATTTCACGTTTATATGTATATATTCATTAATGAAGCAGGTTAATCTATCTGTAAGGCACTGAAATTTCAACTAATTCAACTCGAATCCCGGATATAGATTGTTTTAAACTTCCTAACTTATTTGAAACCTTAAAACCGTCTTCCTCCAATATTTAATTAATAATTTATCTCATAATGAACTTCTCGTCCTACTTATGACAATATTTGGAACTTTAATAATTGTGGAACTGTTGCGTGGTACAGTTCCAGTATCTCCAGACCATGAAGACCCGGGTTTGATCTGCGGAACTAATGCAGACCTAGTTTACTCTTAGTCTAACCGAGGACCGGGAACATAAATAGTTAAACCTAGACTAAATTTGGTTTGGTTAAACCCGAGACTATATCAATCGAAATCTGTACTACGAGTCAAGTTTAATAGTTTAAAATGTATCGTGCATGGTGTACAATATTTGGCTTAGATATGTAAAAAGAATATTTATTTTGTAATGAGCAAATACTTTTTGTTTTGTTTTTCTCTTCGTGAGGACGTTTCGTGGAATTGAACGTTTTGAATGAATTGAATTTTTTTTTTTTTTTAACAACCTACGATTATTTAAGTATTATTTGTAGATGGAAGGCTTCGGTCGAATATATATATATATATAGCTTTGTGGGTTTCAGTTGTCATCTATGTTTGTAAGTTAGATCTGTAAAAATGTAACTATAAATTTGACTAAATAGTGGTAAAACTATTTAGCCTATTTATGACCGCCATCCCGTACCATCTGCTTCCTTTATAATGCAACGGTCAACTATTAAATATTCAATATAAATTTGTTATTTTCTTAGTTATTATAGTAATCGTTTATTAATATTCAACCTAATTTATCAAGGTCAGGTTATGCCTATCATAGTTATGGTACCGAAGGATTCCTTTGACCGTTAAATTTACTTTGTTCAACACCAACTTAAGCGATAAGGTCACCTGTTGCTGCATTATTCATATAAGGATGAAAGATGGTAAAGATATGTATTCCAAATATCTGTTTAATGAGTTTGCCTACGTTTCGCAGCAAACATGAGGGTCATCATAAGGACAAAGGTTTCCAGGCAGGACAAGAACTTGAGTTCTTGAGTCCGACCTTCCAACCATTGCCTTGATTATGACCCACATGTTAGGGTCGAAACGTCAGAAAACTCAATACAAAAATTTTTGACTGCGTATCCTGACCATTTTTCATCCCTAAAATTGCAAGTCAACTATATACCCATCTCTACATTAATTCACTTTATTTATGTAGATGCAAATTTAATATTTTAATTATTTTTTAAAAAATGTTTTAATAGTTTTCTTTTT